GCGATGTTTAACTGCCAATATTTTCTATTATAATACAAACAAACAGCAGGATTTTTTTTTTACAAGTAGAACGGAAATACATATATGACGAAAGTAATAAGTAGCAATAAGTAAAATTTTAGATTAATATATTAGGAATTTATCTTCAAATAGTTTTAAGGCAAATTCCTAATATTGTCATTGTTTCTAATATTAATTTGTTTTTTTTTATAAATATATGTAAATTAGAAAAAAAATCAACAACTATTTTATAAATGTCAGTTAATAAGTGATAAGTCGTGATTTTCATCTTCTATCTTTCCTGTATTCTGTATTGTTTAATTCGTCCTCCCCATCTTATCTTTGTGAACGTTTCACTTTCCTTGACCCCACTGGCATGTCCAGTAGGTCGAGTAAGTCCCTTATTCTTAAAATCCCTCCTCACTCCTCCTCATGCTATAGTGGATCATTTACGGTTCATGCGGCTAGACTATGGAACTCTCTTCCACTGCATATTCGTGAAAGTCAATCGCTGAATATATTTAAGAGCAGATTAAAAGAGCATCTTCTGTCCTCATAAACTTATTATGTCTATGTATGTATATGTACCTATTTTGTATGTAAAGAGATATTTTATATCTATGTATATATGTATATGTATTATTGTACACATATATGTATTTATTTTGATTTTAATTGTATGAGTTACTTATATATCTCAACACATTTCATATTTTTAAATAGAAACATCTATAATGTTTCCGTCTATTATTGTACGCATACTGCCCGCTAGTAATTAATGCTCCTTTCCACTCAGGGTTTGCTGGAAGAGAACTCTTACAGAGTTAAGCTCGCCTGTTGTACATCTTTATTTTATATATATATATATTATATGTTGTAATTTTTTCTGTGTACAATAAAGAATAAATAAATAAAAATAAATAAGTTTTGATGGTTAAACATCAATAAGACTGTCACTATTATTACTTGCCTGGATGTTGTAAGGGTGCATTTTATTCCACAAATATATTTTGTACCAGAAGTATAATTTGTTCCACAAAAAAATAGCTACAACAATTGTTACAAACAAACTATAAAGAAATATGAAGACTTCTTACACTGTGTTATAAAATATACCGAGGAACGAGGTGATATTTCGTATACTCATTAAATCAAATATTTGAATTTAGAACGCGAATCGATTTGTTTTTTATTCTTAATTTGGAGGGTTTATTCTTTAACCTCTTTATTCATAAAAACTAAAACCTACTACTACAAACCTATTTTAACTATAACATTATTTTGTCATTTTCTTTCAAATTAAGAATTGAGCTCAAAGAAAAAAGACAAAACGCTTCAATAGCTAAAGTAGGTTTATGAGACGTATAACGTTTTTTATGAATAAGGGCGTAAGAATTTTTTATTTATTTCGTAACAAACAGTTTTTCAATCCAGAAAAGATAATATACAATGCTATTTGTACCATCGCAAAATTAATATGAGACCAGTATGAGAGTAAAATCTATCTATCTATTCAAAAAAAGTAAGAACAAAAAAGAAAAAAAAAAACAAGAAAAAAGGAAATTTAAAGAAGATGAAGAAAAAAGAATATATATCTAAACGAGTTCAAATCAAAATTTAAATTAGTTCAGGTTACATGAATACAAAAATAAAAACAAATTGGGAACCTTCATCTTTTAAAAGTTATCTACTTAAAAAAAATTATTGACTTGTTACTTTGTGTATAACAAATATAGTCTAGAAACTATTGACACCAGAGAGACGAGCGTTAAGAGTACAGGATTTAACGTTAACGAAGTTTTAAGCCATCTTTCCGATACCTGTTGACCTATTTAGTCCCTCTAAATTTACTACAGATACATTGTACTTGTTCTAAAAGAGATTACGCGCTATAAATATGGCAAGATTATTTATAGTAACATAAATATCTCATAGTATTACATATAGAGGGAACGTCGGAAGTTTAACGATTTATTGGAATAGCATTCTGTTATGGTATTTATTATATATTATATTATGTTGAAGCTTATATATAATAAAATTTATTGTTATATGTGTAATATTAGAAACAGGCAAAACACTAAGATATAGGAATAGAAGTTTAGCGAAGTGGAAAGATTTATTAAAAGAAAAAGATTTTTTTTAAATGGTCGTAAGTATCGTAAGAGGCGGCAAAGGGACCTTATGGTGGAGGGATGGGCAGCAGCGTCCCTCTTAAAACATCTGTAAAAGCCTAACTGCGGTTGTCAAGCGTGGCAACTACTAGCAAAACTCCCCTTAAGCCTTCCCGGCTTATGTTCAACAGTGAGCAGTTAAGGGCTGAAATAATAATAATAATTGAATGGTTGTAAAACTATTACAGTACTATTCATTAATAACAGTTTCCTAGGATCTCGATGACATAGTATACGATGACGAGTCCTGACCATTTTCGGTCACAGTGACCGCTTTGACTCCGCTATTATTGATTAATTGTTTGCTGGGCTGTTGTTGGCTTTGGTACGCTCAGATGTGGCTTACATAGCCTATCTTTTTAGTAAAGATTCTTGCATAGTGGTCATGCAAGCACACCATTGCTGTTGTAATTATAATATATTGCTATGAATGGTCAATCTTCTATTTCATCTCTCTTTGCAGTGCAATTCAGAAAGACGTGACATTTCTAAATTATTACTGTGTCGTTCATAGTATTGTTTATTTCGAAACATGATACGACGATGATGATACGACTCTGTCAAATTGGCCATCAGTATGTTTCCCTGTAGTGTAAATAAAAAAAAAAAAACAACAAAGCTTCAATACATTCAATGTGCGATCAATCATTGAGACCCAAAATTTTCAATACAATGTATGATGCTAGATTTACACACTGGCGATCATAAGTGCTTAGAAAGGGGCGAGTTTATCCTTATATGATTTATAATTGGTATATTCTGTCACTAAACAAAGTCATAACATTATAAAGTAATGAAGTTTTTGGAATTGGCAAGCTTGAATTCACGACCTTGTAGTCTATAAGTCGGGGTACTATAGAATTGGACCATGTTATCTTAAAATTGGGTCATGCATTTATATATATATATATATATATATATATATGATTATACAAACATGTATAACTCATTTCTATGTACTATGTTGGGATATAACTTATCGTGTACAAAATTTTATTCAAATCCTATCAGTAATTTTTGCATGGAATATATCCATCCAATCATTCATCCATCTATCATAACAAATATTCCCACTTGCAAGTGTTAGATTTTTTTTTAAATATACTAATTTTCTAAAAAAAAACTAACACAAACTTACACAAATCAAGTACCGAATTCACACATTTGTGACGCGAATGTTTGCCGTTGTTCGACAAATGTGTAAATCTAGCATAATATATATCTATTGTGCCTATTGAGAGAACAAATAAAATTATAACCCGTTCTTTCTAAGGTACGCTGAACCGTTGGTCTTTGTGTGGGTATTTTTTATGCTGGGTGACCTTATCCGCAAGGTCACTACGAAGGTTTAACATTTTATTGAAATTTCGTTTATTTACAGCGCCAGGTATATTTAAATTGAAGCGATATTAACATTTTTTTATGATATAAATTGGTTTTGTTACTTTTAAAACATAAAACGTATAAATTTCGGCAGTTAAATATTGTCTATATTATTATCATAAACAAGAAAGATTTGATTGTTTGTATATTTGTTCGTAATGGATCGGATTAATCGGATGAAAAAAAACACCTACAAATAGTTACATTTTCAGCAAGTAAAATTAGTTACATTTTTTACCAAAATTAAAGTACGAAAATGAAGCCAAGCTTTTAGTCCAAAAATTTTGGTAATTTTTACCAGTCTTCAAAAAAGGAGAAGGTTCTAGGCTCGACTGTATATATTTTTTTATGTATGTCCACAGATTTCTTCGTCAATTGTGGACCAATTTCAACAAATATGTTTTTTTATTGGGAGTGTACTGCTGAAGTGGTTCCATTGTTACCAAATCAGGATCTGATAATGAGATCTCAGGGAAGTCGACCCTTAAATTTTGTAGACACGTATAGTATATATCGTATATTTTTTTATATTATTTTTTGTTTCATTATACTTTTAACCAACATCAAAGAGGAGAATTTTTTTGAAGTCTATATTTTTGTAAATATGTTATACGATATCTTCATTAATTACAAACCGATTTAAAAAAATAAATAAATTCTTTTTTAAATCAAATTCAAATCACCTTTATTCAAATAAACTTTTGTTCAAAAGCACTTTTAATCGACTTTTTTTTAAATACGCTGCAAGGTTTAAAAAAATATTATCTGATAGATAGATAGATAGATAGATAGATAAACACTTTATTTGAGCCATTTATGACACACGTAAATTAACAAATAAGTTTATACAATCAGATTATTTACACTTTTTCAAATATAAAACAAAAGATGAAGTATGGAGATATGTTATCTGCTGAGAAGAGCCCACAAGAAATTCAATAGTCACTCTACTAATCTATGAGTTTTACTCCCATATTAGTTCCATATTCACATTGCGTCTGTCTAAACTGCTGTTATTTTTACGGCGCTTTCAATAAATTATATATAACTATTTGAAATTATTATAAAACGCTTACCCTACATTTGGGAATCTTAAAACATGTGAGATAGAATATAATTGGCTTCTATCAGCTCGATTTGACGGGATTCGAACCCATATCTCTCAGATGTCAATTCTGAGTGCCTTCTTAGTTACATCATAGAAGGAATACAAATTTTTAGGCGACTTTAAAAATAAGGTAAGTACATCTCATTCTTCTTTTTTTTTAATTACTACCAAATTGTAATAATATGAATATTTGAAATAAAAGGTTTATTTCTGTGTAGATTTCATACAATTATCAAAATTAAGTCATTCAGTTTAAGGGAAAAGATCTTAAATCATTATAAATAATTTGTTTGTACACTTTATCAGAATCGTAATTAGGTTTAATATTGACTTACCGATGGTGCTGTCAACAGCTGTAACGCCTCACTCAGATGCTTAAGGGTCAATGTATTCTTCTCGCCGTTCTCCTCATCGGGACCAGGGAGGTGAACTGACGACTGTCTCGACCGAAACTCCGGCTTCTTGCCCCCAGAACCAGCGCCGTTAGCGAACTGATGTTGTGAGGAGGCGCGGCGAAATGGACACGTCATGGTTAGGTACTTAAATCCTCAAGTCATAATAATCACTTATTCACTTTGAACTGTACACCCCGGCACATCTGCGAACAAAATTAAACATACATTAGATTTTAGTTCTAGTATAATACTAACGTAAATACTGTAATGAAAAAATGACTATTCAAAAATGCTTAAATCTAAGTTTACATAAATAAAAATATATCTATCTTTAGGTCTTTTAAATAGTACCTACATAACTGATTTTTATTGCCGATTTTTCGAAGCGAGTTACTCCACATCGTGGTCACGGCAAAACTGAAATGACAGGTCGACAATAAAAATCACAAGACCTTCCATAAAATATTCTGAAGCAAAAATTTTATGTTAAAATTCATAATACATAACCGTTTCAAAATATTAAAATATCGTTCCTTTGGACTCTTATAGTAGCATTTAGAACCAACAAAATTTACTGAACCGATTTCGGTGTGAATGAAAACACCAAATTTTATTTCGAAAATTTGGAATTTCATTTTATCGTAGACCTAGCTTTCCCCCTTTATTGCGTCACGTTAAGTTTCGATGGTGAATTCAAAATATTTGTTTTTTTACGAATCAAAACGTACCTATTTATTTACATAGACAGCGTATTCGAGATACGCTCATCATTTCAATTATTGTTATAACACTATATGCGTATACGCATAGATGTACCGTACATTAAGACTGAGCGATGACAACAGCTTATAAACATGTCAAAATTGTATAGATCAAAGCAATTCTATTGATTCTGAATAAAGTGTTTTGCACGCTAGTACATTTTATAAATTAGTATAGACTATTTACAGATTCTGTCCATTTTTCTTTATATACTCATGTGTATTCGTTATTTTTTTATGTATGACAAGCGGCCCGTCCCGGCGTCGCACGGGTAGACATTTTTAATATTTCCCTTCACTACTCTGCATCTTTTGATCGTAGCGTAATGAAAAATATACTATAACCTGCCCAGGAGTATGAAGAATTATTGCACCAAGTTTTGTTAAAATCCGTCGAGTAGTTTTTGTTTCTATAACGAACATACAGACAGACAGACAGACAAAAATTTTACTGATTGCATTTTTGGCATCAGTATCGATTACTAATCACACCCTGATAGTTATTTTGGAAATATATTTCATGTACAGAATTGACCTCTCTACAAATTTATATATATATATAGATAATGGAATTTATATATAGATAATGGAAAGGTAGGGCTAACTACACTAACGTTATACACTGGCGATCCACCAATAAGGGATAATAGGTGAGAATGAAAAGGCAGAAAATTTAGCCTACCGTGATCAATATACCTGCAATCCAGCACGAGGGTTTCCAGGGGGGACCACGTGAAGTTCGACCTGACGAGGTATAATGCTAGCAATGAGGCTGATAATCCGCATTACTAACAATCCCTTCTCCATATGTATTCATATTAGTTCCGCACAGTGTAAAGAGTTATTATTCGAATAACCAAAAATATCCAAAATAGTAATAAAAAAAATTATACTTAATAAAATTCAACCAACGATTTTACAATTCAAAAGTATTAATGCTTGCATATTGCATCTTTAAAAGTACCGAACGAATACACGACAGTTTAGTACCCCTAATAACCTACTGTAGTTTTTTATACTGTGTCCATATTATTAGCTGCGTAGTGATAATATTTATAGAAATAAAAAAAAAACTCAATGTGTTAAATTGTCTTTGATAATTTTTTAACATACTTATTTTATCAAGATTCTAATCTGATAAAAATTAAATAAAAAAATTATTATATTATAAATGATATTAACGTATTTAGCATCGTTTATTATAAGAAATTTTGTAACGGTCGTTCATTTAAATCGTCTCATCGATCTAGTGACGTCCCAGTGCTGGGCGTTTAGCATATCCTCCGCATAAGAGAACGACATTATACGTTTATTACCATGATGGCCGGGTGACTTGGCTTAAGTTTTATATGAATTCTCTTTTCCTTTCACTAGTATATGATGAATGAATAAATAAATGAAAACTCTTGACTGATCCCTTCAAAGAATGATATAGATTATAAAGATTAACAATATGTACACAGAAAAAATGATAAATTAAGTACATAAACTTTTTTTTTATCTTTTTTATTTAGAGGTTTTTATCCTATAAGGATATGTCAGCCTCATCATACCCTAATTTTATAAAATACCTCACATACTTAAAACATTGATACATAAATAAATAATACATAATATCTTAGTAGTCTATTTTCATAAAGGGAATTATTGATACAAAAATATAGTAATTAAAGATTTTGCCATTCCGGAATGTGGTTCTGCGAGTATATTTGAAAATAAACCAATCTCCTGTCTATTGAGACTATATTTCTGTATCAATACTTCCCTTTGTGTTTTGTATTTCGTACATTCAGATATCATATGATGAACATCATCCAATGTGTTACCAACATCACAATTCGGATTATTAACTTTTGAACATGAGAAAAGCGAATTTTGCATTTGGATAATGTCCTGAGCGTAATCTAAGAGTTGTAACAACGAAATTTCTATTTACTTTTAGGTTTATGAACCACGGTATCTTTGGAAGAGTAGAAGTACATTAATTTAATTACATAAAAGCAAGATAAAGAGGCAACGATGGGCAGCCTTATCGCTAAATAGCAATCTCTTCCCGGCAACCTTAGGATGATTTTTAAAGATGTCTACTGACCATTTAAATCTCCTCTTACAATTGTGTCTACTCAACACACGAAGAACACATTCCCTCCAAAGAATTAGAAAAAAAAAAAAATTAAAACAATTCACTCACTTTAAACATTTCTATTACGTAACACCTCAACTTCAATAAAACAAATTTCACATTAACTAAATTTCCACTATGGATAACATAACTGAATATTTCATATATGTATAAATATAATATTTAAAAAAAAACACGTCAATCACTTTCACGTATTAACACGCGGCGATTAAAAAAAACAATCATAAAAGTTTCGTTCACAATTCATTATTTTTTTAGACATACAACAAATACAGTTAGCAGGAAAAATATATACGAATTTTAATTATTTTTGTTTCATTAAAAAATCATAAATACGGATACCGACGTAGTGCTACCGTGACGGTATCTAACTGTACACTGGACGTGTCTATGTTTATGATTGGTTCTCATAATCGCATAGATGTTCATTCATATTGGTAAACAACGCAATAATATTCTCTTTAATTGAGCGGTAAAACATTTTTTTTTTTATTTTTTATTTTCAGATTAGGATTAAGTCAATAAGTTGATATTTATTTATATATATAGACTATATATATTTATATATATATATACACAACTTAGAATGGCAAAGAAGCTGGCGGCCCACCTGATGGAAAGAGGTAACCGACACCTATAGACATGAGCAGTACCATGGACATAACAGAGTATACTGTTTCACCCATGATACCCCCCATGCGTTGCCATTCCTGAGGACTCAGGTATTATTCCTCTGTACCCTGTAAATTCACGCCATATCCCATCCTTCAAACCGAAACACAGCCATGCAAACACAACTGCTTCACGCTAAAAACACGAATGTGACAGAGGTACCCAAGCAATCGACTTTTGTACAAAGTTTGTTTAATCGCATTCGAAAAAGAATATTTAAGTTGAGAGTTGGTATATTAAAAGATGGTATAGTTTCCTTATAACTTTGTGAGAAGGAATAAAAATAAACAAAGACGGTTGTAATGCAAGCAACGTTAGATCGGATGAAATAATAAAAAAGGTAGGTATCTTGTTCCGCACGTCGCTTCCCCCCACACAGCCGTTGCAGCTGCTTGATGCGTTTTCTCAGTTCGATGATATTTCTAAGGGTATACAGCTGTGGTATTGTATAATTTTGTTTCAAAAATTAATTTCTATTAATTTCTATATTTCTATTCAAAGAGTGATATTTAGCGATAAGAAATACATATATACCTAAATATCAGAAGAGAATACTGCACAGACAGAATCACTTTTAAATTGTTATCTTTGTTCTCTTTCTTTTTTTTTTTTTTTTTTTTTTTTTGTATTTATACTTTATTTTACACACTAATACTACATAAAAAAGTATGACAGTGGAAAGCGAATGTATAAAAGGTAAGCTTAACTTTACAAGAGTTCTCTTTCAGCACACCCAAAATCGAAAGAAGCATTAATATTATTTATTTTTTACAAAATAAGAAAAAGGGTTTTTTTTGATGGCTTTAAATCTACCTTTTAAAGCTATTTCTGTTGAGTTTAGTAGTAGAACCAGAGGGAGACATTGTACAAAAGTCATTTGCTTGGGTACCCCTGTCCCATTCGTGTTTCAACCGTAAAGCAGTTGTGTTTGCATGGTCGTGTTTCGGTTTGAAGTGTGGGATATGATAATGAATTTACACGGTACATAGGAATAACACCTGAGTTCTCAGTAATGGCAACGCATGGGGGGTATCATGAGCGAAACAGTATACTCTGTTATATGCATGGTACTGCTCATGTCTATAGACGACGGTTACCACTTTCCATCAGGTGGGCCGTCAACTTGTTTGCCATTCTAAGTTGTATAAAAAAAGAGCCCAAAAATATATGAAGATCTTTTTATTTTACCTTATTTCTTATTTGGCACGCCATTTCCAAGCTTTTCCACCATTACAAACTGCCGGAACAAATAGTAATTCAAGCGAATCAGAAACAGATATCTGATATTATGTTTTATTGACATAGGACCATAGGCTCTCACATTAAAGTGGTGGTTTTTTATCAAAAACACAATAGAATGTTGATTCTTTTAATAGCCGATACACACTATCAGAAGAACATACACTTATAATCTACACCTTATAGTATTGTGCGGATGACAGTTGAGATCTTGGCAGTTCTTGTTATATAAAAGAACAGCAGTTATTGAAATTTTCGAAGTGTATATTCCACTTTTAATAATCAAAATACTTGTGATTTATTTTTTTTAACGATTTTAGTGGCATATTACCCGTCCCATGCCACAACTACGCAGAGTAAAACAACAAGTAGATTTTGACAAAAAAAAATGAATTGAGACACTTCTTTTGGAATATAAATCAATGAAGTTCCCTATCTTCTCACTTCCAAGAAGAGATTAAGTCAATTTGACGGATAGAGAACTGGATGTAGTTGCTACCAATCCTATAAATATAGATGTGGCTAGATTAAATCAGCGACCTGCAAATCATGATCAACATCCGATCATATCAGCCGGTAACTGTCCTCACAGACCTTCACCAATTGGGGGATTTTACCAGTAGTTGCTACGCTTGGCAGGCGGGTTGGCAACCACAGTTAGGCTTAGATGACTTTTTACTGGCATACTTGGCACTATTTTCAATCCCTGGACCATTAAAACCTGCGAATATGATGCTCCGATACAAGATATCGGCCATATTGTGGAAGACCACTCATTATATAAGTATGAGATTAATCCAGCAGGGTTGATTAGCCTGGAGAATGACGCAATTTATTGAGTGCAGAAAGTAATTACCTTACGATTAAATCCTTTCTAATATTATAAATGAGAAAGTTGACTTTTTTGTTTATGACCTTATAGCGTTTTAACGGCTTAACCAGTGATTATAAAATTTGGTATACACGTACAATATAAGCTGAAGAAGAATAAAAACTATTTTTTATCCCGGTCAGTAAACATATCCCGGGCATGTGGACAAAGTAAAAGCTAGTAAATAATAAACCATAAACCAAGGTTTTTATGCAACTTAGAATGGCAAACAAGCTAGTGGCCCACCCGATGGATAGTGGTAGCCGTTGCCTAAAGACATGAGCAGTACCATGGACATAACAGAGTATGCTGTTTCACTCCTGATACTCCCCATGCGTTGCCATTCCTGAAGCTCAGGTGTTATTCCTCTGTACCCTGTAAATTCACTTCCATATTCCACCCTTCAAACCGATACACAGCCATGCAAAGAACGGTTAATTCATTTCGTTTAAAAAAATAACACACCGCGGTTATATCACTAAATATTTGACTGTATGTTACACAAACAAGGGTGAATGTTCATTACACAGTTGAATTAACACGCATCGCGAATTATATATGACTATGTTTGTACAAAGTTTGTTTAGCAAAATTCGTTGATGTATGCATTGTTTGGACTTGAAAGTTGAAGTGCGGAATAGACAGGGATTTGTTAACAAACCTAGGTGCTTTGATACAACACTTGAAGTATGTTCATTGTTATATAAACTTTACATTTGTCTGTGGTCATTTAAGAAACTAAGTGGCTGGTATATGGGGGGAAAAGATTATAAGTAATGGGATCTAACAGCTTCAATGCAAGCAACCTTATCTAGTTGATCTCCACGCGGTTTTCCTGGAAACTATTGAATTTCCTGTTTTTCTATGATTAATTTTCGTTGAATTCATCACGATAGGCCAACAAATGTTTTAATTCTTAGCTATCTTCTCTTCTTCTTTTTATATTTCTCACTGGTGTTCTTTCAGCATGTACCAGCGGCTTACGTGGGGTTATCGTCCACCCAAAACCACTTGCTTTTCCCGGACTGCGTAGAGGTTAACCGAACAAATAATATTACTAACAATGGAGCCTCTTAGTACCCGTTACTAACAATTCCTCCTCTCCTTCCAATACTACTTGCTTTTCCTTAAGCGCATGCATTGCATCTCATGTAACACACGCGTGAGTGTCTCTTTAATATATTAAGATTATGGCTTAAGTGGGGAAAAAAAACCCTGTGACAATCACAGGTTTTGTTGGCCACAGAAATCCATCAGCGAAAAGAAAACTTCAAAATACCATTCAGGTTTTAGCAACAACGGTTTAGCAAACGCAGTTAGGCTTTGGTGATGTTTAAAGAGGGACGCTGCTGTCCATTTCTCAACTATTAACTTTCCTCGGTCGTCTCTTACGACACCCATGAGAAAGGAAGGGGTGGCCCATTCTGGGCCAGGATCACACGACGAATAAGACGCGTTCAGTCTCTGCAATCACATTAGCTAATGCATCACAAATTAACCACAATTTTTAAAAGAACCAACATTTATTGTGACCTAAATGGAATTTTGAGATTCTATCCAGAATCGTAAGCCGTGACCCAAGTTCCTTCCTATCTCACGAACCACTATATAAATTCCGATGCGTGCCAAGCTCCATTCTTAATGGATTTCCTATACATTTTACTGCTCAATATAAGTGCGAGTTAAGCGAATACCGTACTATTAATAAAAGCACTAATAGTATTCCCCTTTTAGTATTTTATATACAATTTTATATTCATGCTTTCATACTACGTTTTTGGTCCGCTATATCGTACGTGAGGTTTAAAGAAATAGCAAAACCAACAAAATTGACTTCTTCTAGATAGCGTATTATAATAAAACATACACCAGTTTTTAAGTTAGACCTTCAGGAATACATATGTGAAAGCTGCATTCAATTTGATTCAGTAATTTTGCGTGGTGCCTGAACAAACAGACATATGAACAAATATTTTAAAAATATTGTTTTTTCCAAGCAGAGATCTAGTAATTTGTCTAAATATGCCTCGGATACATCCACAAGTAACATGGGCCGTATTTTTTTAAAGAGATCTTTTACCTATCTACCCAAGTGAAGCTAGTATACTATACATATAAAAATCATATACGTTACCACATCTCCCGTTGAGATAAGCAAAAATAAATGAAACGCCAAATGGCCCGATCCAAACAGACCTCTTTCGCTTCCTCCACATTCATCAATCTATTCATACACGCTCGCCGGTTACGGCCACTTTTAATTTGACCCTTTTTTAGCATCCACGTATATATATGTATATGTTGTAATCAAAACTCATAACCAGTCAAAAGTACTTTTGACTGAACAGGTTGGTCAAAAGTGGTTTTGGCCGAAAATTATAGATTATTAATACTTTTGACTGCAAATTTGCGGTTTTTTTATGGGTGAAAATGGTATGGTAGCCCCGCCTGCGCTAACGGGATACGCTGGCGGAGCACCAGTGAAGGGTGATAGATGAGAATGAAAACAGGCCAGTTAGCCCATCATGATGAATTCATCAGAAATTAACCATGATAG